CACACACACACACACACACCCACACACCCACACACACAGTGGCTCTTACCCATACGTATAGCAGCCAGCAGGTCGCTGCGGGCATCTGTGACCACTGCGGTCTCAGCGGGCACAGAGGAGGTAATCTTGCGGGCTGTGAAGTGGGAGGCACCAGCTGGAAGAGGTGGGGGTGGAGGACCAGGAGGACCAGGAGGAGGTGGAGCTACCTGGACTCCAGACACAGGTGGTGGAGGCAGAATGTAGCCACCAGCAGCCATTGCCCCTGGAGACATGGGACCTCCGGGAGGGGAGGCAAAGGCAGTCTGGGCAGACGGGATGAGAGGAGCTGGGGGAGGGGGCGGAGGGCCGGTGTTTGCATATCCGTCCATACTGAAGGAAGGACAGAGCGACAGAGAAGAAACAGACAGGTAAGAAAACCGTCACAGTCTGTACTTGATATTATTGATACTGTACTGTTTCAAGTGAAGCCTAGACATATTATCCACTAGGTGGCAGCATTATCTCAATGTTAAAACATAATTTATTACCAATGTACTACCACTGTTATTGAGAAACTGTGAAACAGCTCAACTTCTGTCCACTGGATTTATTATTTACTTTATTTTACTATTGCACTTTTTAAAGCATTAATGGTTTTATACAAAACGATTCGAGAAGTTTCCTTATTATGGGCAAAGTCAGAAACTATTCACATCCTGATTCATCAGGGAATTGAACAGCAAAGGATTACAGTATATTATCATAGTGATTAATACCATATAATAATAACATGTATTGATATTATTATGAAGAGTGGGCGTCAGTTTGATAGTGACTGTTTGTCTCATGTGTTTACCTGTAGTCCACAGGTGGGAGAGACATGGAGCCGCCATTCATAGCCTCGCTGGGTGGAGGAGGCAGCGGGACCTGGTGGTGGTGAGCACGGCCCAGTGTCCCGCCCTGATAGGCCATCATATTCCTGCCCCTGTTGTCATGTTCGCCTCCTCCACGAGGGGCGTGTCCTGCAGCCATCTGGGCAGCCAGGATGCTGGGCGGAGGGCCAGAGTAGGTGTGGGCGTGGCCAGCATGGTTCATGGCGTTCGGGTAGTGGTGCTGATCGGCACCATGACCCCTGATAAGAGAAAGGATGGAATCAAGGAAAACTTATGAGTTTGTTTCCAGTCGAGAAGAGAAATGAAGAAACATAACTGTGTGTTCACTCACCTGTTCTCTGGAGACATTGAGCCCTCAGAAGATGCCCCTCTGTCTCTGTGTATGGTGTGTCGATGGTCTGGCCTCAGCTCCTTGTCCAGAGCCATCATGTTCCACTCCTGTCGACGGTTCCTCGCCTTGCGGACCTTCTTCACCTCCCTCTGTAATGTCCCATCCACACAACGACGCTGCTCCTGGAAGAAAAACCGAGAGAGATACTTTGTTAAACTAAGGGCTGTTTTATGTGCATTATGTGAGTTAAGTGAATTACACTGAAAATTTCTGCTTATTTTATAACCTGAAGACCCTTGTTAAAGTATTTTATCCAACTAATCCTAAAAGGGAGGAGGTGCAGCACCAGTAGTTGGCAGGCAGGAAAGTGCAATCTTAAATTTTACCCAAAATGAACTGTAATCATGGCACATTGAACCATACGATGATATGAGAGATGCTTGTGACAGAACTGTACCTTCTGCTTCCTTTTCTCTTTCCTCTTGTCCTCCGTGTCCTGCAGCATCTTTTCCTTCCACAGGTCAAAGAAGTATGAGGGATCAGTGTAGAACTTAAGTGCTTCCTTGTGGTCATCCCTACAGAAAGAGACACCAAAAATGTTAAAGAGGAATACAAAAGTAAGTAAAGAAATCTGTATGCATTGTCTCTGTTTAAGCAGAATAGTAGCTTTGGTGATGTTTTTGTTAATGTTCAAATACTAAGTTGGGGAAAACGTGAAGCTATGAATGTTGAAATAGTGAGTGGGAATCCCCTGCGACAAGCTGAAAATGTGGAAAGAGGGAGAGATAGAAAGAGTGGAGAGAAAGAAAACTGAGTAGTGTTGTCAGGGTTAGGAGCTGGATTCCCACTGGAGCCAGTCATGCTAAATATGTAATGCACCAAAAGTACTGGAAAATACAACTGCATGAATACAGCGACCAAAACTATGAATGTAGGTCAGACACTAGTGAAAATCAAGAACTTTTAAAGAGGATTCTGCATCAGGTCAAATTAAATTTAGAACTTTTTGCTTAAAATTGAGAAGATAAAAAAGCTCAGACATTAATGGAAAATATATTTGATTCCAGAGAAATGTTTCATTGTGTCTATTTGTTAGACAAACTGTTTGATGATGTATGATGTTTTCTCATCATAATTACTACATGTTTTTGGAACCTGCAGCAGTGACTGACCACCACTCGGGGGTGTTGAGGACAATAGATGGACAGCACCAACCTGTACGATGAAAGGATGTTGAGTGGCGGAGGCTTGTCACTCAGGTTGTACATTTCTTTGACAGGAATGGGCACACTGCTCTTGGACACCACCTGTTGGTCCTGAATGGTAGAGCTCTTGAAGGCTTTTCTCATGTTGATATCTTGCAGGGAAACTGACAGAACAAAAACAGGAAGAGACAACAAATGAGTGAATGGCCAACAGGAAAAAAGAGAGATATTAATGGGAAAAATAAAAGCAAGATTTGGAAGGTTGCAAAGATAAACCATCCCCATGATGAAAACCTCTTTCATGCATTTTAGTGAAAAAATGCAGAAAACCTAAGGCTGACACTTCAACAATGAGCAATGACTCGCTGCATCTTTGCCCTCTGACCTCTAACCTCTGACCCACCTTCCTCCACAGTAGAGTCCAGCTGCGTGACCTTGACAGCCAGCCGGTCGATGCGGTCCTGGAGAGAGTTGGCACGCAGGTAGAAGGTGTTGGCCTCATTGAACAGCTCGCCAAATATGTCCTCCGCATGTTTACCTGGAAAGAGGGAGAAAGGGACGGGAAATCAGAGAGAAAAAAGGAGAAATCTTTATCTGGGGCCAAGTAACGTCCCCACAGAGACTGAGGACAATCAGTCAATACACTGGTAATGGGACACAATGTGAAACCAGAGTCTTAAGAATCTGTGCAGGAAATGATGCCTCATACGTTTCCATAAAGAAACATCCTCATGAATAATTTAATATGATCTCAATATAGATTGTTCAAATTCTACTGTGTATATGTGTGTAACTGCAAACTGTGTGTAAAAGGCAAGAAATTAAACAGTACTCTCCTTCAACTCTGTTGATGTGCCATTAAGCAAGTATCATTGTTGGATTATTCTTGTGCAGCTAGTCAGTGACCCTCGTTTACAAGAAGAACAAACGCTATTTCTTGCTGCTGGGATGCAAAGATTCAGACGTTGCCCAGCCACATGTAAGAGAGTTGATAAAGTTTCAAATTAAAAGCCAATAGTGTTTATTTGGGTTTTTTAGTTGGGAGGTATGATTGACACTTTGGTTCTATACATGTGCTAAAGGTGGTGCTGGTCCAGGCACATAAGAAAACAAGGTGTCAAACTGGGACTCTTTAGTGGGATGTAACTAAGTACATTTACTTAGTTACATCCCACTTACATTATTGTACTAAATGTGCCAGATTTTTTTTCATCAAGATCCAAGAATTATTCTCTGGGGAATTGGTGAAAGAAAGTGGAGAACACACATACAAACAGAAGTAATGATGTACCCAACTGCTGCACTTGGGAATAGGTTTCACTCAGTAAGTACTTTTACTTTTAATACTTATACGTGTATTTAAAACTACTACTAGAACTTTGTCTATTTATTTGTACTTTTACTTCAGTAAAATATTTGATTAATTCCTCCACCACTGACAAACTTGAAGACTCAGGTTTAAAAAGTGTTGTTATCTGAGGGACGGTCCATTTGACATTTTGACTGGATGACAAACATTGAGTTGTTTTGGTTCAGTCCCTGAGGACACTTATGTTCTTAACCCTTAAAAGTAACCCTGCTGTGGAAGGGGGTTCAGTAAAGGGAGGCCTCAGCAGCGGGAGGAAGTAACCCACAGTAAAATTTGTGATTGTGGAACGACTGTTAGTCCAGGGCTGTGGGAGCTGCTCCAGGCTCCAGCAATCTTAGCCCATGTTCAAAAAGAGAAGAAAAACTTTTTATTGCAAGACTAAATGATTGGAAATGGATAATCAAAGAAAGGAGCTATTTCAGCAGGCATCTAAAAACTTTGTTTACACATAGATCACTGTGTTTCAAAGATGGTATGGCTAAAACACATGCTACAGGCTATTTCTGTCCCCCTTGCTGACAGGATGGGCAGCGGGAAAAATATTGAGAGGAAGGAAGAATCACAGATCCGGCATGCTGTGCCCCATAAACTCTGACCTCTCTGGAGGATTCTTATGGTTGTCGTACACACACACATGCACAGTGTGTGTTGTCTGTCGATAGAACCCCGCCAGCCCTGTGCATGTATTTATATCTAACCCACACAGCTGCTGTTGAAGGGCCCACTCCCAACACAGGAACTTGACACAATGAAAAACAGACAGCGAGTGTGTCAGGGCCAAAAAGTACAGGGTTAACAGCGTGAAGGACTGGATTTAATTGATGCTGTTATGAAACAGAATGAACTCCTAACAGTGTGATAGAGGGAAAATGAGAGCAACTGAGGATAAATGGGTGAAGGGCACCTGTCCCATGACAACACAGCATTGTGTTGACAGAGTATGAAGCAAGGACATGGCCATGGATGAAGGATGTGAGGATAGATGCCCTTGGTGGAGTACTAACTCAGTATAATAGACCTGCAGTGAACATAACATTCAGTGTAAAACAGTTCTCCACACCCTGACACAAACAGTCAAATACACAAAGAGTATATCTGCACTGTCACATGCACACAGCTGTCCAGATAATTTCATTTGTGCGGAGCTATCTAAAAGGATTACATGTCAACCCTCCATGCTCCAGTGTGAGGCGGCTGTAAGCCGCCTGCTAGCCTAGTGACCCCAGGCCCTGTAACCACGACAACGCCCAAATCAATCTCAGCTTTAGGATTAATGATGCAAGCATGTGATTTTGTCCTTTTACAAAGACGCTACACACAGTGTGGACAGTCGTCACACTGGAGTCACAGGGGTTATAGCCCGAGGAGGTTAAGTTCCTGTTTTTCTGTTCACACAGACATTTGTGTGTTTTCTTTAGATGTTAGCAGCGTCTTCTTGTAAAAGTGACAGTGTGTGTGTGTTTGTGTGCGTGTGCGTGCGTGCGTGGGCCTTACTCAGGCTGCTGAGCTGACGGATGATGGAGGAGAGCGTGTTGTTCATCACACACTCCAGCTCACTGCCGATGCCCTCGGGGAGCTCCCCTCGGCAGAGGTGACGGGGCTCGATGTTCCTCTTGACCAGTGGCATGGTGAGGCCGCACACTGGCACAAACTACAGGCAAAGATGGGAAACAAGCACAAACTGTTTTAGACAAGGATCCCAAGGTTAGAGAGAGATCGTCTGCTAATAAAATAGCTGAATAATAAAATAGCCCCTTATTATTTTTCTGGTGAGTGATTTAGTTGATAAATAGTTTCAGCTCCATTAAAAATACAATCTTATCTTGAACTATAAGGAATACATTGAGTTGCCTGACTGAAATAAACAATAAAAGTTGCTCAGTCATGCACAAGGTTTTTTACCCAAAAACCAAATCACCAACTCCCAAAATCACAATAACAAGTTACAGTACCAAGCTCGACATATTGATTGTTGAGTCCCAAACAGACGAAACATGACGACAAAATCTAGTTTTGTCAGAATTGATCTGCTCTAGTTCAGACGTGAGTCGAAGACAATAACAACCAATTGTAAAAATCCTGCAGAAAAATATCACCTCTATATCATATAATCTCTAAAAAATAATTTATCTGCAAATCTGTATCTGACAAATTAATTTTTGAAGACATTGTTTGCAGCAGTGTTTTTGTATTGGGTTGCTTTTTACTGTTGGTGTATGCAAAACATTATAGTGGGTGAGCTTAAGGACAGAGAACCAACAGTGATGACCAACAGTGTCCCAAAGCCAGAAGACTTGTGGTGACCAGCAGTGAGATTAAAGCATTAGGGATAGAAGGATCCAGCGTGCCAGCTAATCCCAGGCCAGCTTGTCACTTGCCCAGCTGGAAACCTGACACAAACAGAGATTCATGGACGTGGTCAACACCAAACAACATTGTTGGTTATGGGCTACAGTCAAATGGAGGTTTTGAAAAACAGCAGAAATGTTTTCATCTTTCCCCATAATCACAGAAACTTTGAACAGTCTCGGAAATTAAACTCTGATTAGCTTCAATCCGATCCTCCAAACCTCCTGTAGTTCAAAGGTCTAGAGATAATGCCTCAAAGAAGAAAGAGAAACCCCAGGGTTCATCGAAGCCGTCATCTTATCGGCTCTTCTTCCTGTTTTTGTGGTCTCAGTCTGGCTTCTGTTTCCTGGTCCTCCCAGTGTCACATCTCTCCTTCCTGTCCAAACACTAGGCCAGAACAATGAGGCTACGGCTCAAGAAGCAGCCAGGAGGACAAAACAGCGAGACAGATGGATCCATGCACACACACACACACACACACACACACACACACANACACACACACACACACACACACACACACACGCCCTTTTCCAAAAATGAAACTTTCACATGTAATTCTCAGACTCGCCAATCAAATTGTTTTATGCTTATTTGCAGTTCCAGGGCTTTTACTGTGCAGCTCGGCCAAAAAAAAGAAAAATCACTTCAGAGAAAAGCAGGTTGGAAAGACACACGCTCTGGCAGTCTGACAGAGGGCTAATAATAGTTGACAGGTACTAGAAACACAAGTCATTGTAGGAGCAAATTAATGAGCACAAGAAAATAGGATTTTAAATTCTTGTTAACCAATAAAAACTAGAGAATATCTATATTTTAATCTTCGTGAATCCTTATCTAATTAAAGATTGCATTTAAAACAACAGAGCAAGTAGCAGAGCTGGGCTATCAGTGTCTTGCCAGGAAACTACTGTAATTACAGATTGTGTCATTACAGCTGCCCATGACACAGAAGAGACACTTCTGAGCGACAAGGCCAATTACCTCTTGCAGAGTTCTCATCTGGCCCTGTTTTCTCAGCTAGCTACCCCCTGCAAACCCCTACAGCCTCATGCCACTGAGAGAAAACAAATGGGTAGAATTACGCCATATTGCGCTGCCTCAGAGGACACTGAACACAGTCGATAATGTCTGGCTTTGGAGCAAAAGAGCTGCTAAGGGGTTTCAGCGGTGTGAACTCTGAATAAGCATTTAGGAAATACTGCGGTCCTTGTTGCATTGGAAGGAGATGATGCAAATGAGAGGATTGCGTGTTTTTGCTTTCACTGTCTGGCTGGAATGACAATCACATCAATGAGGCGAAATAATGAGGGGCTTGGGGGGGTAGGGGGGTGGCTGGCGAGGGAGGCGGAGGAGGCCTGCTTGTGAGAAACGAGGGGAGAGTACCGAGAGGGAAAGGGTGCATGGGATAAGAGCGTGTGACAGAAAAGAGACAGTGAATGAGACAGTGTGAGGGAGAGCGAGAATGGGTGGTGTGTAACATTAAGAGGTGGACAGAGTGTGTGTGTGTTTATGTGTGTTTGAGGGGGGGGGGGGGGTCTGTGTTGGATGGGGGYGGGGTTGTTGGAGCAGGGACCTCGGGGAAGCCACTGAAAGGTTCCCGGGACAATAGAGCTGCGTTCACAAGGCAACAGCACTGGCTCTCCCATGCATCCTCCCCCTCTTCCTCCTCCTCCTGCTCCTCTTCGACCTTATTTAAGGCCCCCTATACTCTTGCAATGAAAGCATGAAAAAGTGAGTAAGAACCCAGGAGTGAGAAAGGGGATGTAAACCTCAAACATCTCACCCACAACCCCAGAGAAGACATTAGCTTGTGCTTTTGATTGCTCTAGTGCTCCATGTTTCTCCGTGTCTTGTTTTGGCTTTTGTGTTTGGATGAATTATTACAACCCAACATGCACACGCAGACAAACAAACATACGCAAACACTCCAGGTATCTTCTCAAGCGTCCCATTAGCAGCATCTAAACAGTCTATTCAGCAGCAAAAAACATCTGTGATCCTCAGAGCGGTGACGTTCAGAGTAAAAATACACTTCCCCCTGTGACTCCGACAGGATGGCCCACGTCTCCTCTCTCCCAGATACACGGGCACAGAAGAGGCCTTTACTACAGACGTGAGAACTCCATTAAGAACTGAAAGGGGGAGTCATTACAAATTTATGAGCCCGGTCCAGCTTCTTGTGTTGTGGGCTGTTTAGCTTGTTCTGACGTTATGAATAATGCAGCGTGGATTACGTCAGGTCACACTGCCCTAAATATGATGTAGGAAAAAAAGGATTCTGCTGTGCCTGTCCAGGAACTTCTCCTTGTTTCACTCTGTAGTAAAACATTGATGGTACTGTACCTGTGATGCACTCTGGGTAAAAGACTTGATAGTGGATCATAACGTGCACAGAAAAGGAAGCTTGGCTTTGAGTTTGACTATCTTTTCTATGATCGTACACTTTTATCAAAATGAATGATTCAGAGCAACTGAAACAAACATAATTTGTCACTTAAGACTTTGGTCAATTGCTTTGAACATCATTCAAAGACTTGATATGTGATTTACCAAACTCACCATATTGTGACGTACGTAATTTATCCTCACGCCCTGATATCTGACCAGTGATTCTGCAGTATCATTCTAACTTTTCTTAAATGTATGTAAATGCACCACTTTTTTCTTTTATTTCTTTCATATTTTCAGATAGCAATTTAAGATTTCACTATAAATATTATGTTTTCTGCACTATCCTTTTTTATTCAGCATAAATATTCGAGAATGATTAACATTGTACAAGTACATGTAATAGTTTGTGAACTCTGGCACTCCTACAATGAAGTATATATTAAAAACGGATTCTTTAATGCAGACATGACCAAATGTCGCTGTAATCCTCGTGGTGACACAAGTGGCTAAATAGCTGACTCATCGATCAATAAATCAACAAATTGATTCAGAACTTGGTGATCTGTCGAGCAATAAAACCAGGTCTACAATTGCAGAAATCGATTGCTTATCTTTAATCACAGTTGTGATTGTTGCATGTATTCGACATATTATACATTGATATATGTTGGTATTCATTGATAAAAATGTGGTATAAACCTATTAAATCACATGAACAGCTGCAGCTACAGAGAGTGAGGATGTCTTTACTTTGAATATAGGGTAATCTGTCATTATAGTGTTAGCATCTATTACTAATTTGCCATATTTCAATATTGACTTTAATGAGATTTCAGGTTGATTTTTTTATATTATCGCGTGCATGTCACTTTGAAGTTATTAACATGTGCTGCTTTGTTGTTTGATGCCTTAAAACTGACATTTATCCACAAACACACACATGAACACACACGCTGCCCATCTCCCCATGACACACACACACACAGGCGTGAACTAATGGCAACCGCGATCAATCAGTGTTCCGCACCGCCGCTTCCAGTTACTGATGGATTGACCCACATCTGTTCATCCACATCGGGTTCCGTGATTTTCTCCCAGTTATCATCTAAGATCGGACGAACCGTTTCCTGTCTGCGCGTCCAACAGCTGATTGAAACACCGGCAACATCCATTTAAATACAAAAAAAATAAAAACCCATTAAAGTCACAAACCAGAGGAGGAGAACCCCACAGCTTCAGGCCGTGTTCAGCCACACGCAGACCGGGGATGATCCTCCCCTCAGCCGGGGGTCCGCTCCAACTGACCACTCGGTTAGCTAGCTAATGCCCAGGGGTCGACTACTAAGTTTGGACGAATGAGGCTGAAACCAACAAAAATAACCGCGCGAATTGAACTGAATGTGATGAATGGTGCTGCTAGTGTAAAAAAGTATCATGAGACCCTCACCAGCAGTGGGAATATGAGCAGGAATCAGCCGGTCCGCATGTCCCGTTAGATTCTCCCGTTAGCTGCCATCCTGTGTCCCTCAGCCCGTCTGGACACTCCGGGGAGAAACCCGTGGAGGACCACGGCCCGCCCACTGGCCGCTTTCAGCCAATCGCGCCTCAAAGCAGGGGATTTAACACGTGATGGGCGTTTGCTCCAGCCAATCGCGTTTCTCGACATGAATGAGTGACAGGGAGGCTCCCCGGACCCAACGCGATGCTGTAAACGGAGGGGGCGGGGCTACAATTGGGCGTTGCTGAAGAGCTTAATTTTATATTATAAGGGTTATAAATGCATTTTTGTTTTCAGGCCTGCTGGGATTTCTGTGCACAAAATGATGATTTGAATAAAGTGTAATGGCAGAAACATTTAATATCACATTTAAACATGTTTCAGGGAAGCAGTGCTGAGGAGCTGGGGTGGTATTGTGTAACACACTAAAATAGCTGGGCCAGCATCCTGCAGGAAGAGGCTCAATGAGAGGATTTGCTAAACATAGATCTACGCTTTACTCTCCCAGGTGTGTTTGTAGACACTAAAACAGTGTGGGGGGAGATGATGACTGTCACCAAAGCAAAGGGAGTAGTGTCTGGACTGCAGGCTGCAGAGGTTTCGTGCATTATCAGAAATGCAGGTCTATTCCTGGACAAGGTGCAGTGTGAAGGCCTGCATATGTTATAAAGCTGTCAGTTTGACATTTATAATTGATTTAGACATGAATTCCAAAGCACACATGTGTGTGACAATGTAGTAAAGTGGATTACATTTGTACCCAGTTTGAATTTTTCTCTGTGTTTAAGTGGGTTTTTCATGGTACTCTGGCTTCCTCCCACAGTCCAAAGACAAGCAGACTGGGTTAGATTCATTTGAGACTCTAATTTGTCCATGGGTGTGGATGTGGGTGTGAGTGGTTTTTTGTGGCTGTATGTTGGCCCTACAATATGATGATCACCTTTCCAGGGTGTACCACACCTCTCCAGCTCCAGCTTCCTCCACAACATTCAAAGGATAAGGAGTATAGAGAATAGATGGATGATGCGTGTTTTTTTAACTCTAAACAAAATGGTAGCTCTAGGTGAGTTAACGAAAAACTTACTGGGGAAAATATATAGGAGGTGCAAAACGTGAACACTTAATGAGCATTGCACATTTATGGCTTATACATACACACTTCCAACATATCACCAATATCAATGTTTCCACTTTTATTGTCAGGATACTTGCTTCATGTAAAATATTTCAATACAATACAGTACAATGCATGTTCCATCTGCCATCCTCCATGCTATTGGTTGGTTTTGTCATCATGTTGTAAGGCTTGCCCACAGCATACAGCAGCAGAGCGCTCAGCCAGCGCAAGCTGCTTTGCCACAAAAACAAAACCATAAAAACCAATTAAATTATAACTACTAAAATCATTTTTTTGTCACCTTTTTTTTGTCCTTTCTGCACAAAAACCCTCAATGCCACAGCTGTGGGGGCTCTACGTCCTCCTAGCATGCTTCACAGCAGCTCAGTTCATTCCTCAGCTGAGGCCCTCATAGGGCCACTCACACACACACACACACACACAAACACACACACACAAAACAGACAGACGGACAGACAAACAGACAGACAGGAGGACAGAGAATCTGTCAACGCTGGCAGTCACATAGCAGCTTTCAGTCTAATCCAAGCTTCAACAGGAAGAGGGTATCTGGCTGGGGCAGGACGTCAGTGGAGGTGTGGGGAGAAGTGAAGACAAGGAGGGGAGAAGATGACACATAAAAATATCATGTGCCCCTCTGAACTGAGCCATCTTCTCTTGGCTGGTTTGAAGTAGGGAATCAGCCACAGCATGTTTTCATCTCATCCTCCCGCCTTGTGTTTCACCTGTCAGGTGTTGCTCTTTAGCAATGTTTCTAATACAAGGGTTATGTTGTGTTATCTCGTAGAAGTGAACATTGTTGTTGTTCTGGCTTAAAAGACTGCTGCAGAGAAGGTGCCCTCTGTGGGGTGGGGGGGAGTTTGTTGCCCTGGACCCCCACATCCCTCAGTACATTCGTTCAGGTGGGCGTGGTGAGGGCTGGGTATGTGCTATATATGTGTGCATGTATGCCTGTGTGTGTGTGTATGGGGGGGGATGGTTCAGTAGCGATGGGTCTGGTGGGAGTACTGGGGGGGTTGTTGGGAGGTAGTGGAGTATCCCATGCTGCTTTGGGGCAGTGATGTGCTTGGTCCAGGGTTCTGGTAGGCAGCATGTGGATTGGAGCGCTGCAAGGATGAAATAAACACAAATATATTATTGGATCCTATCAATGATCTACACTGAGTGTTAACCTCACTGTTAATGTTAGTAACCTATTATTCAACAATTTCCATACAGATAATTTTTGTGTGAGAAAAAGAAAGGGAGCTACCTGGTAGTCTGAGGTCATGATGAGGCCACCTGAGGTAGTGGTGGGTGGGACAACTCGCACTTTCTTCAGAGGCGGACCCTGGGCGTGGCTGTTGTCAGGGTTGCCAGTGTGCCCCGCCCCATTCGTGTGGTTGTTTCCCTGTTGCTGCTGCTGGTTTTTCTACAAGTGGAAAAAATGTGATCATTCCACACATAGGTTTTGCATCGTCACTGCTGTATTCATATTTACATCAAGCCTATTGTGTATTTTACTACCCCTTTGTAATGCTATATATTAGACTTCTTTATATAATCATGAATGAGGTCCCTGTATTGCTTTATTTAGAAACTACATGGATTTCTTACTTTGTCTGCCTTGTCCTCTGGCTCCTCTTCTGTCAGGAACTCTCTCTTGGGATAGGGAATCTGACAGCCTGCAAACACACTGGAGAAGAAAGGGAAAGAAGCTCATCAGCTTCAAACATTTATTCCCATGGCTTAGAGCTAATTAACTAAAGACAGGAAGAATGCAGCAGGTCAGATGCTTTCACAGCAAATGGAAAATGTCCGGAACATACAGGCAATGGATGACTTCTGAGTAGAGCTCATTTGCTTGCTGCGAGTTTTCCAGATATTTTTGTTACGTCTGGATAATCACATGGGCTTTGAGAAGCACAGAGATAAATAAACTGGACACAGACTGTGGGTTTGTGTGTGATATAGCTCACTCAGATGTGGGCAGGGGCTCCTCCAGAAAGTAAGGGTCCTGCATGGCCTGCTCAGATGTGATTCTACGGATGGGGTCCATTGTCAATAGCTTCTGGAGCTTTAATGAAATGCACACAAAGTTAGCATCCAACAAGAAACCACTGATTGGATTGGCATAATGACAAAGCGCAGAACCAAAAATAATATAATAGCTTTATAGTTATTATGGATTTACCACTATAACAGTACTTAAATTATATGATAAAACCTGTAACAGCCCTTTATCAAGGTATTTAAACTCACCAAGTGGAATGCTTTGCTGTCTGGTTTGACTTTATGTTTCTCCATGTACTTTATAAGGCTGCAGTTTGTATATCTGTGATAAGAGGGAGCAAACAATGTTAATATGAAGCCTTTGGTACATTTACCTCAAGCAGATTTATCACATGATTAAGAAAGGGTTGTGTACAAAACTCAAAATATATTTCTGCCAGCAGACACAGCACTTTGCTTTGCTGTGACTCTTGTCTCAGAGTTTTGAAGAAAACTGGGACAGAGGCGGTGCTCAGCACACTCACGTGTTCCTTCTAAAGTCTTTCATCAGCGTGGAGTGTTCTGGCATCTTTTTGATGTCCTCCCAGTCTTTATCTGTCAAATGAGGGGAAAGGCAGGATTACATCATTATACCATGTCACATCCTGTCTTCTTTCAAGAACAGATTAAACACATTGAGCTTTTGACTCACAGAGAAAAAACAGGTTATGTACATTGATTGTGTGTAAACTGAAAATGGCACTTGCTCATCTGCCAGTTGTAATACATTTACATCAATTATCTGTAAGCTTTCCAGTAGAACCACCATCACTGTCACACATGCAGAGGAATTGTAAATTTTGCCCTAGTGCAAGATTTAAATCCTTCCTTCCTTCCTTTCATCCATCGTTCCTTCTAACTGGTGAATTACACAAATAGAGCAGCAGGGGAAAAAAGATTCCCAGAGAGATGCAGCTTAAGTGAACTGGAAAATATAGGCCCAAATGTAGCCCTGCAAGTTAGAGCTTCTGTGTTTGTGACTTGGCTTCATCCATCATGTCAGTGGATTGATGTTATTACTGCCTAAAGTAAAAGAGATGGAGCAAATGTAATAGTTGGCCTATGATAGGAATAAGAAAAGCTCATTCTTCTACAGCATTTTGTACTGAAAGCAAAACAGAGTAGCACCATTGATATACATACATTGTTAAGAAAAGTACTCACTTGCCCTAAAATATGAACTAATACGTCTAAGATTGGATTTATTTTAGAAAATTACTTTAAAAGATTGTAGTAAATAATAAAATTGGAGAGAATTCTTTTTATGGATATTTATTTAAAGTCTGGCAGCCTGTGGAGTCTCACCAGCAGGGAAGCCCATGACGTTAAAAATGCGGTCCAGTTGGTCATGGTGGTACGGGTTACTGGTCTTGATGTCCTCCTGGCGACAGTGGAATATGGGTTCAGACGTCAGCAGCTCTGCAAAGATGCAGCCAATTGCCCAGATGTCTGAAATAACAGCACACACTCTCAGTTAAGCTGTTGGGGAAGTCGGTAGAATTGAACTGCACGTGATCACACAGACTGTGACAGATTGTGTTGCAGAAATTCTCACCGATGGCTTTGGTATAGTGCCGAGCCCCCAGCAGTAGTTCAGGTGCTCTGTACCAGAAGGTGACCACCACAGGGTCGAGATCGGCTAAAGGCTTTAGCGGTGAATTAAAGAGACGGGCAAACCCCATGTCCGCTAAAAAAAAGAAAAGTCACATTAGTTGGTAAAGAAACAAACTCAAACAATAAATTACTTTATCTTTAAAAGGGAGACATCATACATACCAATCTTTACTCTACCCCTCTCTGGCCCTTCCCCCATCACTAAAATGTTTGCTGGTTTCTGGTGGAGAAAAAGACATGTGGAATTTTAACATTGTTCTACTATCCACATTTT